CAAAGTCACTCAGCTGCCGAGTGCTGGAGCCTGGCTTCAAGCCATGCCCTGACAATCATTCATTCATGCTTTGGAATGAACAAGAGGCTTTGACTGTGCCTTACTTTGGAGCGACGCTCTTTGCTATGTGACAGGCTTACAATTTTCCTTGTTCCCTGTGAACAAACTGGCCTTGGAATGCTTTTGCCTCTAAGAGGGGCAGAAAGGAGTTTATGTGCACATCTGCACATGTGAATTGCAGAAAAATTAGAGACTCTGGGTTGAGTCACAGGTCAGTGGTCAGCCTAGACTAAATGTGCTTAAGTTCCAGCTTTGCTCCTTCGGTGGCAAGTCCCAGGCTCCCGAGGGCCAAGCAATTTCTCTCTCAGTTATATTTTTTCGATGACATTCTTACAGATCTCCCTAAATTCCTGATGGCTGTGGCATGTCTCACATTTATGTCCCTATTTTGATTGCATTCTCCATTGGTGTCAGAGTAGAGAAAACACAAAGTTTTGGGACTTTCCAAGTCCAAATCTCAATTTTGCCTCTTTACGTAGCTTGAAAACAATCATTTCATCTCAGAGAATTTTGGTTCCCTCTAGGATAGAGCTCATGATACCCTCTCACAGGTCCTTTTGACGTTTATAAAGATCAGCACGTTTCCATTCAATAAATACATTCTAGGGTCCCTTAATATCCTTGCATACCAAGCTTGGGTTCAGACAGACACAAGTTCAAAGCTTCATTTTGTCACTTGCTAGCCTTGCTACATTGTACAAGTTCCTGGACCGCTCTGAGCCTTGGTTTATTCATCTGTCAAATGGATTGACACTCTTCACTCCTTCCCAGTGTCCTAAGATGAATCAGGAAATAGATAGAACTAGCCTTTCGTGGATGCTGTTTCATTGATAGTATTTTGTTGTGCTTTAACTCCTTATTTGAAATCTCAAAAATTATGTTTAGCATGGAATACGGTAGTTTTTAATATGCTTAACAAAAATGTGGTCTTAGCCTTGGGCTTAACTGAATATTAAATATCTCTCTTCTTATTTCCTAACAGGGAGGAGAGAACCTCACGAGGGTGATTATCTCACCGGGGTTTAGCATTAGTTTCAAAGATACGCTCAGAAGAGAAGTGTTGGAGAAGTACTAAGCAGTGGTGTATGACATCACTACCAGAACAGTTCTAGAATCTGGATAAAGGATAAAGGCTAGAAGTGATGCTCAGGATTTCTTAGAAATCCCTCTATCCTTATGCCTGTGCATCTGTATTTACTGCAGCCTGGGCCACCCAGAGACATCCAACCAAGCAAAAGTAGCCATGCCCGTCACAGACCCTAACTACGAAGCCCACACATGTCACCCCTCATTCCGCATTGGTTCAGCCCAATGGACCATGAGCAACAACTTGTTCAATGTCACTCATCTTGTTTAACATTACTTGTTTGCCTTTAGGACACTGGTCTCCTTTCCACAAGGAATCCTTGAGCATGAAAAACGGAGATGTAAGAACGAGTATGAATTCCTCAGTTGACAAGAGGCCAGAACTACCCATCCCTGTGTTCTTGGTAAAGCTCTGATAAAGCTACAGTTTCCTCATAGGGATAGATTAGGGAGCTCAACTAGTACCAAGAGCCCCAACTGTAGCCCGTATTATTGGCATATTGGTACAAAGGCATCTATCTGTACTCTAAAAGCTCGGGGAACTGCAGAACTGGAGAGATGACAGTGTCCTAGTCTATCCCAGCCTATTACTTTGCATTATGGTGCTGCCCAGAATTACCATTCATAGGACATTCAGGATGGACATGAAGCATAATGATTTTTATTCCTGTTCCTATTACTGAAAAACAAATGAACAAACCCTAGCTATCACATAGGGCATACTTATTAAATTCAAGGTGTAATTTTAATTGCTATAAGAATATTTCTAAATTAGGTAAGCTACTATTATCATCAAATTACTATCACATAGAGCATACTAATTAAATTCATGGTGTAATTTTAATTGCTATAAGAATATTTCTAAATTATTTAAAAATTGTGCTGGATAGCTTTAGTGTTAACTTGACACACCTGGGTTGAGGGAGCCTCAATTGTGGAATTTCCTCTATTGGACTGGCCTGTGGCCATGCCTGAGGGGCATCTTCTTGATGAGTGATGTGGGAGGGCCCAGCCTACTGTG